CGGGCGCCCGGCACACAGAAGAGCCACATTTAAGTTTGTAAAGAGCCGCGGCTTGCCGACCACTGGCCTAGGTGACACAAGTCCATCTATTTCAAATAATAAATAGATCTGTATGAGTGAAAGTATGTTTCAGTTTTTAGAAATGAATTTGGATACTTGGTGAGAGATTTGCATATTAGCCACCTCTCTCACCAACAAATGCAGACTTTGAAATGTCATGGAGGAAGTAAACAAGATATAGAATTTAAAAAAACAAAAAACCTTCAAACCCCTCAAAAAAAAAATTCATGTCTCTTTTAAATTGGCTAAATGTGTGCTTCAGATGTACAAAAGTATAGAAATCAGCTGGCAAAGCTTAGAACTATGTTAAGGCTGTTGGCAGAGGGTGCTTTTTATCAGTCGCATGAATGGGGCATTATTTTATTATTAAAACAATCTGCGTCTAGATCTTGAACTAGCACATCAAGCAGCAATATGCACTATATTGTCAAGTGATTTGGAGGGCTGGCCCAATACTTTTGATTGAGGTGTTCCAATCACCTCCATGGTCACAAGTGTATAAAATCAAGCACCTAGGCATGCAGACTGCTTCTACAAACACTTGTGAAAGAATGGGTCGCTCAGAAGCTCAGTGAATTCAAGCGTGATACCGTGATAGGTCGTCACCTGTGCGTCCGTGACATTGCCTTGCTACTAAATATTCCACAGTCAAGTGTCAGTGGTATTATAACAAAGTGAAAGCAACTGAGTACAGCAACTCAACCACGCAGTGGTAGGCCACATCAACTGACAGAGCAGGGTCAGTGCATGCTGAAGCGCACAGGGTGCGGATGTCGCCAACTGTATGGTCAATAGCTAAAGACCTCCAAGCTTTGTGTGGCCTTCAGATTAGTACAACATAGTAGAGAGCTTCATTTAATGGGTTTCCATGGCCAAGCAGCTGCATCCAAGCCTTACATCACCAAGTGCAATGCAAAACCTCGGATGCAGAGGTGTAAAGCATGCCACCACTGGATTCTAGAGCAGTGGAGATCTGTTGTCTGGAGTGATGAATCACGCGGCTGTCTGGCAAGCAGATGGACGTGTCTGGGTTTGGTGATTGCATTGTGCCAAGTGTAAATTTTGGTGGAGGGGGTTGTTTTTCAGGGGCTGGACTTGGCCCCTTCGTTTTCCAGTGACAGGAACTCTTAAGGCATCTGCAAACCAAGACAGGTTGGACAATTCCATGCTCCCAACTTTGTAGGAACAGTTTGGGGATGGCCCCTTCCTGTTCCAACATGACTGCACACCAGTGCACAAAGCACGGTACATAAAGACATGGATGAACGAGTTTGGGGTGGAGGAACTTGAGGTCAGGATTCTGTGCAGGCCACTCAACTTGAGAGAACACCTTTGGGATAAATTAGAGTGGAGACTGTGAGCCAGACCTTCTTGTCTGACCTCACAAATATACTTCTGGAAGAATGGCCAAACATTCCCATAGATACACTCCTAAACCTTGTGGACAGGCTTCCCAGGAGAAACTGAAGCTGTTATAGCTGCAAAGGGCGGGGCCAACTCCATACTGAGCCCTATGGACTAAGACTGGGATGCCATGTGCATGTAAAGGTAGGCGTCCCAATACGTTTGGCAATATAATGTACATGGTGAATAAAAATCGGTTGTAACACCGATAGTCATGCACTGCACATACATATCTGATGGACTTACTTTCTGAGAACATAGTGTTTGAATCCAGGTTTTAATTATTTTGATTTGTTTTATTTATACTTTAACATGTGTGTTTAACTCACTCTTTAAGCAGGTATGATCAGTTTTCTGAAAACAATTATATATACATGCTTGCTAACTCAATTTTAAGCAGCACTACGCCAGGGCATACATGCCGTGGTTGAACATATCTCGTGCAATTCTGAACTGGGTTCTTAAATCAGGCAGTACTGCGATGAAGCTGTTTCAAAGTTGCACAATTATGCTACTGCACAGTTTTGCCTATTTACTTACATATTGGTAAATCAGGCCCACTGTGGGGCAAAAGAACAAATATATCTAAACATTTTATTGACATACAATTTGGATGTAACCTCTTTAGAGATACAGGGAATAGAGAAGATTTTGCGAAGCTGTGCCGGAGGGAGGCTTAAATTTTACTTTAAACATCAGGGTTGCAGCTGTGGTGTTCATTTTGAACGGGATGTAACTCATTACTGTTGATAGGATTACTCCCTCCTGCACAGCTGGGAATTGAGTATGTGAATGAAAAATATTTTTTATGGTATACTCAATTAGTGCTTTTTTTTTAACCGCTTCCAGTCCAGGACAATTCTGACATTCCTCTCCTATATGTATGTTTTTTGCTAGAAAACTACTTAGAACCCTAAACGTTGTATATATTTTTTTTAATCCAGAGGCCCTAGGGAATAAAATGGTGGTTGCATATTTTGTATATGACATGATATTTATGAAGCAGTTTTTTTTTTTTTAAATCAATTTAAAAAAAAAAAAAAAAAAACACTTTACTAAGTTTTACAGGGAAGGTGCGAGACTTCGTCTGCATGCTCGTTGAACCACGATGTGAGTCCAGCTGTGTGAAGCAGAGCATTATTGCCTTGGAAACAATGTCTGCACCATGGGGTGCACATGATCGGCCAAAAAATTTGTACATAGTCGCTAGCAGTGACTCCACCTTTCAAGGTGATGATGGGGCCTGCAGAATACCAAGATATGGGTGCCACCAATGCTCTACTATTGGCACAAGACAGTCCTTGTCTAAGTATGACACAATGTTTGCCACATGTAAAACACATCTGGTGGTTGGGAACAGTGTGAAGCTTGAATTCATTGGACCATAGTACAATCTTCCATTGATTGCTAGGCCCTGATTTATAGGTGTTACACCACTCTCTCCTCTACTGAGCACTAATATGATCATGTGGTGGTTTGGCAATTGCAGCTCGCCTGGGAACGTTTTGCTTATGGAGTTCCCTCCACACAGTTTTTGTGATCATCGGCTTCCAAAAGACTGAGATTGAGCTTTGCAGTCACTTTTGCAGCAGTCCTTTTGGTCAGTTGACCATGTTGACCGCACTTATGCTTATCAGATGATGTTTTCCTGGAAACTGTATATGCCATCATAACATTTGGTACTGTACCTCGCGACACGAAAAATAAACTGGAAACTTCAGTCACAGAGGCACCAGCTAAGCAGGTACCAAGAATTTGCCTTCTTTGAAGCTCAGTAAGCTCCAACATGACTCCGTACTACTAGCAGCGCATGTTGTGAATGACGAAAGTGAGGCATCCTACCTGTTAGTCTCATCACACAGTGGAAGCAAAAGAATGTTATATCACTTCTGCTTTCAGCGAGAAACATGTCCTCACTTTCACACATGCAAATCGTGTACTGTTTCCATATTTTTGTTCAACGCTTGTATATTTATATTGTCTCAAGTTGTTATGCTCACTACTAACCAGGGAGCTTGCTAGATAATGTATAAAAAAATGCCTAATTTCTCAGTTTTATGTTTCTTGATATATAATTCTTTTTCACAGGAGGCATGTCAAATATACGACATCCTTTGGCATATACATGTATTTTGTCAATTGTTGTATGACTTAAAGGATAAGTTCACCTTTTAGATAAAAATAATAAAATGCAGGTAAGAAAATGTGCATTTATTATTTTTTTGTCCACAGGAGCCTTGAAAGCAATGCACCAGCGATCAGTAGATTGCTGATGCCATACAGGTCTCCTGCAGACCTGTCAGAATAACTGCTTGCCACATGGGATGTATGAGGAGGCAGATATTCTGACAGGAAGCTTCAATAAACTATCATGGCACTCCACAGACCATGGTAATTCATTGAAAACTACAAGCCACAACGCTAAGGCTGTCGGGACTTGCAGTTCGTTCATTCACAGAAGTTCATGAATGAATGATGCGGCCATGTGGGTTGAGCCCCGCACAGTCACACTGTTTTCAAATTTGACAGATAGTATGGAGAGAAATCTCCCCGTATTATCTGTCAGAGGGGATGTGGTGGCTGCAGGAACAGGTTACATGTTTCACCCTAAAAAAAACATTCATCTATAGCCATTTATCTACAGAATTATGACAAAGTGTCTTCTTTTTAACAGGATGTGGATTATTTTAATTTTAGAGAGCTTGCCTTTTAGGAGGGTGGATTTTGTGGTGATTTAGTCTCCTTAAAAAAAAAACAAATTTGAATAGAACCACAGGATGTATACCTTTTTGCAGTTATAAAGCAAAGGTTCATTTCCACAGGCCCTAAAGTACACTGAGAATGTAAATCAATGTCTAAATGCAGTTACAACTAACTCCTATAAAGGTAGTGAAGCCCTTGGAACTAATACTTTGTCAGTGCTTTCTGCCAGAACCTGATGCCTAGAATACCATAAACCAGCCTGATCACCTGGCAATGTCTTCTTCCAAGTATGGAGCTTCCCAGTAGATGCGAGAATACAGGGGTCCTCACAGGACCCACCATGCATAGCTGCTTTGCAAATCATGAAGGGATAATAAGAAAAACCATGGATGGATGGCCGTTGGAACAATTTACATGGAAACGTGTGGTCAGTTGACGATTTCCCCTCGTCTCTTGTAACAGTGGTAAAACGTTGGATTATTACTCGCTTTGTATCCTAGTTCCAACTCATGCCAGGATAGAAAGGGGGATTCAGTCTCCCCAGTTGCAGAACATATAAAAAGAAGACTTAACCTCCAATAAAAACATAACTTATGTCACAAGTATCACCAGTTAAAAAAAGGCTGTCTGTCTTGTCATTCTTGTAATTCACTAATGCAGTTTGCAAATGAAAAAAGCACTTATCTTTTATGTAAAGGCAGCAACATCATACAGACAAATTGTTACACAAACCCACAGAAAGTTGGGAAATCGCCATATATTTCAAATACATTCAAACAACATTTGTACAATATAAAACAGAAAAACAAGACTACCATTACATCAAAAATCTTTTAAGTGCTTTCCTTGAGTGCTTTTCTTTCTTCAAATTGTCGATCCACTGTAAGTGACAGAGCTTGAAGGAATTTGTCAAGTGTAACTGTAGGAGACTTAAAAGAAATTAAGAGAAAATATCAAGATTTTTGTAAGGAACCAAAATATGAACGTTAACTCTCACACCACAGCTAATCATAAAATACAAGTATACTTTAAGCGGCTAGCCAGCAATGTCATGCATTCCCACACCCTGGTCCAATTAATATTTTTAAAATGCAGTACTGCTAAAAACCAAATCCAACAAAAATGTAATGTACAGATAATCTATGTGATTAAATATAATAAATTGTGTGCTGAAAAAATACCGACGGAATACTACACCTATACAATATTATTCAAATATTTACATCCACTAATCCCAATATATATATTAAAAAAAAAATCTACATTCTCGTGCATGATCAAAAGTTCATGAAAAATGTGCTGCAAAGTTATAAACAGATCCACATCAAATCCTTCTTTAATACTCCACCACACCGTACTCAGTACTGTATGCTCTCAATTCTGTATTGAACCCATATATATTATAGGTCTATTCCAACCTTCCCCTTTAAAGGGGTTAACCGATGGTGTCCATGCTTCAAGTCTCAAGACCGCCAGTCTCCTCTAGTGATGGTTTTCACTTCATAGAGCAAAACAGCAGCAGTTTCCCCTTTCCCCTGCAGGGAAAGGCCTCCATTCTCCAACTCCAATCCTCATCAGTGATTGTGGCTCAAAATAAAAATATTGCAATCATAGTGCTTTCTGTAAAAAGATCTCTTTTTTTAAAAAACAATTAAAATCCACTGATGTATAGGTTCACTAATCTGATGCACTGCAGGTACTGATGTGTATAGGGCTACATCAGAGGGTGGAACTGGTGACATCATTGCATAACTTAGGAAGTGGCCAGGCACCAGGGTAGAGCGGTGCTGACCATGGAGTTTTACAGTCTTAAGGGGATTTGCATTTGGGCTTTAGCAGCACTGCACTATATAAATATTTGTTAAATATTTTTGTACTTCCCATAAAATCTTTTTTTAGGCTGCAGATGCTGAAATAAGCTACGTGGTCCACCCTAAAAACAGGTGGATTATGCAACATGTTCAGAAGGTGAACATATCCTTTCACAAAGGCTAAAAGAGTCAGCGTCAACCAAATATGAATTTGCCATTACTCAGGGGGAGGGAACCGAGAATCAAGACCAGGACAAGTAATTACTAGTAAGGGAAAACTTCTTCCAGAAAAATGATGGGCCTCAATTAGCAATGTAGAGGACAACAAATCAACAGAGTATTAAAGTACTATTAAAAAGTATCATAATTTGGGATTAAAAGTACCATTTCATTGTTTTGCAGATGACACCAAGCTATACAGTGGGGCAAAAAATTATTTAGTCAGCCACCAATTGTACAAGTTCTCCCACTTAAAGATGAGAGAGGCCTGTAATTGGCATCATAGGTAGACCTCAACTATGAGAGACAATGAGAAAAAAAATCCAGACAATCACATTGGCTGATTTGGAAAGAATTTATTTGCAAATTATGGTGGAAAATAAGTATTTGGTCAATATCAAAAGTTCATCTCAATACTTTGTTATATATCCTTTGTTGGCAATGACAGAGGTCAAACGTTTCCTGTAAGTCTTCACAAGGTTGGCACACACTGTTGCTGGTATGTTGGCCCATTCCTCCATGCAGATCTCCTCTAGAGAAGTGATATTTTGGGGCTGTCGCTGGGCAACACTGACTTTCAACTCCCTCCAAAGGTTTTCTATGGGGGTTGCGAGCTGGAGACTGGCTAGGCCACTCCATGACCTTGAAATGCTTCTTACAAAGCCACTCCTTCATTGCCCGGGCGGTATGTTTGGCATCATTGTCATGTTGGAAGACCCAGCCACGTTTCATCTTCAATACCCTTGCTGATGGAAGGAGGTTTGCACTCAAAATCTCACAATACATGGCCCCATTCATTCTGTCCTTTAAATGGATCAGTCGTCCTGGTCCCTTTGCGGAGAAACAGCCCCAAAGCATGATGTTGCCACCCCCATGCTTCACAGTAGGTATGGTGTTCTTTGGATGCAACTCGGCATTCTCTCTCCTTCAAACACGATGAGTTGTGTTTCTACCAAACAGTTCTATTTTGGTTTCATCTGACCATATGACATTCTCCCAATCCTCTTCTGGATCATCCAAATGCTCTCTAGCAAACTTCAGACGAGCCCGGACATGTACTGGCTTAAGCAGGGGGACACGTCTGGCACTGCAGGATCCCTGGCGGCGTAGTGTGTTACTGATGGTAGCCTTTGTTACGTTGGTCCCAGCTCTCTGCAGGTCATTCACTAGGTCCCCCCCCCCCCCCGTGTGGTCCTGGGATTTTTGCTCACCGTTCTTGTGATCATTTTGACCCCACGGGGTGAGATCTTGCGTGGAGCCCCAGATCGAGGGAGATTATCAGTGGTCTTGTATGTCTTCCATTTTCTAATTATTGCTCCCACAGTTGATTTGTTCATACCATGCTGCTTGCCTATTGCAGATTCAGTCTTCCCAGCCTGGTGCAGGTCTACAATTTTGTTTCTGGTGTCCTTCGATAGCTCTTTAGTCTTCACCATAGTGGAGTTTGGAGTGTGACTGTTTGAGGTTGTGGACAGGTGTCTTTTATACTGATAACAAGTTCAAACAGGTGCCATTGATACAGGTACTGAGTGCAGGACAGAGGAGCCTCTTAAAGAAGAAGGTACAGGTCTGTGAGAGCCAGAAATCTTGCTTGTTTGTAGGTGACCAAATACTTATTTTCCACCATAATTTGCAAATAAATTCTTTCCAAATTAGCCAATGTGATTGTCTGGATTTTTTTTCTCATTTTGTCTCTCATAGTTGAGGTCTACCTATGATGCCAATTACAGGCCTCTCTCATCTTTTTAAGTGGGAGAACTTGCACAATTGGTGGCTGACTAAATAATTTATTTGCCCCACTGTATAGTGGAATGTCACACTAATTGGATTACTATGTGGCAAATTGGGTTTAATGCACTTTGCTAACAAATCACATTGCACCAAGGGTGCCTAGGGAGAGCACCCAACAGATTCCAGTGCACAAAGAAACACAATACAGGCCAGCCCCGCAACTTCTTCCCAGAGAATTCCGGGTACAGTTTCTAGGAAAAAAAATGGAGGATCAGACAATCCGGATGCTGCAAAAATGAGCCCTAACTCTGCAGCAACTCAATATCTTGCTAGCAGAAACATTTGTGATAAAAACAGGCAGAAAACAATAAGTCATGTTTGCTTTTCTCACAGCAGAGAGAAGACATCCATTCTTCTAAAGACACAAAAATTAACATGCTGGAACGTTGCCATTGTGCAGTCTCCTGAAAACAGCTGCATAGTCCTATGTTCCTGTCGACTTCTACTGTGTGCAGAAATGTATGATTAGGATAAACTATTTCAAATCCTCTACTAAAAACGAGAAAGATCCAGATTTGCACCAAACAGGCACCAGTTGCTTGATAACTTATTTCCACATTGTGCTTGCTACTTACTTGTATGAAAAGTGCATGTGCCAGAAAGGGTATTTTTCTCAGAACCCTGCCACTTAGACCTTCGCTTTTTCTGAAACAATATAAAAATAGTAAAAATATTTTGTGAAATGGTTTGTCAATTAACCTATGATATTTATCATCTGATCAAACTATAAACTATAACTAAAAACCTTTATAGAAAACCTAAGAGGGGATCCAAGATACATAAAGTTACTGCAATTCTCAAGTTTTCCATGAAAGACAAGCTTGGTTCCACCCTTCCACTGTATGCCTGTTGCTACCCAAAACCAGTAGGGTGGTTTTATGGGGAGGGGCCAAGCTTGACTTTTAATTATAAGTATTCAAACAAGTGACAGGTTAACGTGTTTTTCTAAATTTGTTTTTTTTTAAATCAAAAAGCATGCGAGCATTTAAAATTATCCAGTCATACATGAGTACACAATCTAGGAGTCATAAGAGCCAACAGGAATTATCATTTATGATTAGACCATTAAAATAAAGATCCAGCCATAATTTGAGTTCTATTGCCTACAGACTTTATCCAATCTGTCAGCACACAGCAAACATGAAGGTCAACTTCAAACTCTAAAATGCTCATCAGCCAGAAACCCAATATGCTCCTAAATTCCTGTTTGAGCTGATGTCAAGGTGCCTTCAACTAAAATCCCATCCAGCACTGTCTCACAACCTTGTTGTCTTAGTCATGTGATGTCATCCCACACAGGACATGCATAGATGTATAGCTGCCAGTTCTGTAGATTCTCGGTGTAGAGTATATACATTTTAGTGTTGAGGATTGGCACCAACACGTGAGTTTTTAGATGTGATTTTATTTTAATAATCTGTATTAAGCTATGGACGCGCGTGTTTCCTCTCATTCCTATGTTGGGCTGATGACTGACTGGCGATCAGCATAACAAGCCAATTTCCCATTTACACGTAAGGGTCTAAGAATCTGGAGAGCTGCTTGAATGAGTGGGTGGACAAATCACAACGGAAACTGAGATCTGCAAGAAGGGGGGGGTTATTATTATTATACAGGATTTATATAGCGCCAACAGTTTTCACAGCGCTTTACTATTGAAAAAACACATTCATTAAGAGTATAATATCGCTTTCACAGGAAAAGTGAGAGCACTTTTGGTAACTGTTCTATAATTGGAGTGATTATTAGCAAGCAAATTTACAGGTAAAGTTGATCCAGGGAATATCCGATTGCCTCTCGGGGGATCAGGAAGGAGTTTTTTCCCCTGCAGGAGCAAATTGGTTCATCCCTTACTGGTTTTTTTTGCCTTCCTCTGGATCATCTGTGGATGTAGGATTATAACTTTTTTTTTTGTATGATTGAACTGGATGGACCTTTGTCTTTTTTCAGTAAGACTAACTATGTAACTATGTAGCAAATGCTTCTGATATTGATATATGCTGCATAATTTAATAATGGGAGTTTCATTATTCATGATGAGGAGGTGGAGTCAGCTCCTTGCACAGATTGAAAGGGGCTGCAAGGGCTGGGACAATGCTAATAATGGGGAATTTAACTACCCGGAAATTGACTGGAGTAATGGTACTGCAGGAAAAGTTAAAGGGCAAAAATGTTTAATTTTATTACAGGACAATTTTATGGTACAGTTCATAGAGGCCCCAACTAGGAACGGTGCTCTGCTGGAGCCCTGGAAGTCTCAAAACATGCAGAGCTTATTATGAATGTCCATATAAAAGAACTTCTGGGTAGCAGTGACCATAACATGTTTCAAATATTACCACCTTCAATATTAGTGATCAATAGCGGCGCATTATGTATATATAACACATTAAATCTTAATTATCAATCCTAGTGCATAATTCCTTGTCTTCATTGTTGTCCCTACAATGCAAACATACTGTGCAAAAAAATAAAAAAAACTCTAAAAAAAAAGTAACAAAATATATGTGACATCAAATTATAGTGCCCTAATTATACACCATAAATAATAAGTCCCGTGAAAATTGAAAAAAAAAAATAGATAATTAAACAAATCAAATAGAGTTTAATAAAAGACCACGTAGAGAGAGTTCTTGCTGGTAAAAAATATTTAAGCAACAGACAGCATGGATTCATGAAAGACAGAAGTTGTCAAGCAAATCTGATTTCTTTTTATGAGGAGGTGAGCAAAACGTTGGACAGAGGGGTGGTGGTGGTGGACGTGGTATACTTGGATTTTGCAAAAGCGTTTGACACAGTCCCCCCACAACACGGCTAATGTGTAAGGTAAAGTCCACAGGCTTGGAAAAATCCACATGTAAATGGATAGAAAACTGGCTAAAAGATCGTATTCAAAGAGTAGTGGTTAATGATTCATACTCTGAATGGTCTAGGGTTGTCAGCGGTGTACCCCAAGGTTCAGTGTTGGACCCTTTTTAATATACAGTCAGGTCCATAAATATTGGGACATCAACACAATTCTAACATTTTTGGCTCTACACACCACCACAATGGATTTGAAATGAAACGAACAAGATGTGCTTTAACTGCAGACTGTCAGCTTTAATTTCAGGGTATTTACATCCAAATCAGGTGAACGGTGTAGGAGTTACAACAGTTTGCATATGTGCCTCCCACTTGTTAAGGGACCAAAAGTAATGGGACAGTTGGCTTCTCAGCTGTTCCTTGGCCAGATGTGTGTTATTCCCTCATTATCTCAATTACAATGAGCAGATATAAGGTCCAGAGTTCATTTCAAGTGTGCTATTTGCATTTGGAATCTGTTGCAGTCAACTCTCAAGATGAGATCCAAAGAGCTGTCACTATCAGTGAAGCCATCATTAGGCTGAAAAAAACAAAACAAACCCATCAGAGAGATAGCAAAAACATTAGGCGTGGCCAAAACAACTGTTTGGAACATTCTTAAAAAGAAGGAACGCACCGGTGAGCTCAGCAACACCAAAAGACCTGGAAGACCACGGAAAACAACTGTGGTGGATGACCGAAGAATTCTTTCCCTGGTGAAGAAAACACCCTTCACAACAGTTGGCCAGATCAAGAACACTCTCCAGGAGGTAGGTGTATGTGTGTCAAAGTCAACAATCAAGAGAAGACTTCACCAGAGTGAATACAGAGGGTTCACCACAAGATGGAAACCATTGGTAAGCCTCAAAAACAGGAAGGCCAGATTAGAGTTTGCCAAACGACATGTAAAAAAGCCTTCACAGTTCTGGAACAACATCCTATGGACAGATGAGACCAAGATCAACTTGTACCAGAGTGATGGGAAGAGAAGAGTATGGAGAAGGAAAGGAACTGCTCATGATCCTAAGCATACCACCTCATCAGTGAAGCATGGTGGTGGTAGTGTCATGGCGTGAGCATGTATGGCTGCCAATGGAACTGGTTCTCTTGTATTTATTGATGTGACTGCTGACAGAAGCAGCAGGATGAATTCTGAAATAAATTAATCCAAAAAAAGAATCTTCCCTCTTTTATCAACTACCTATATGTGCAACCACAAAAATATCCCCATATGATTCTAAACGTGAACCAACAGAAAGTCATAAAGTCCGAAGTCCCAATAATCAAAACAAAATCATAAAGTCCAGTGTCTCAATAATCAAAATGATAGAACCAAAAAAATGTAAATCTTGCAGCGTTGATTGTGTTCAGTGAATTATGTGAAAAACCTCAAAGAAAAAAACTCACAATAGTGCATTACCATAATAAAATCAGAAAAAAAAAAAAAAAAATTTATATATATATATAAGCTTACATGCACACACAAATGTGTATCATAAAGTTGTGCAACACTAAGTGATAGTGAAACACTTGTGAAAACCTTCCAAACAATTAATAAAATACTCGTGCTCAAAAAAACTCTGAAATCCTGAAGTGAAACACTCAGTGAAATAGCTATCCACACGTGACACTTCTAGTGAGTAAGGCAAATATACCCTTACCAACCGTAGAGAAAAATCACGCCTTTATAATATAATTAGTAGAAATCCTCCAAAAGAACTTTCTCCTCCTCTCCTCCTTCACTTATTGTCAGGGTGATGTTATAATGCCATCCACTTTCTGTCAGGAATGGACTGGCCAGCTATGGTGGGACTCACCTGCCTTTTGATCTGCAGTACCAGGGCTGGCCAGCGGGTGTTCCCAGCAATCAGAGACTCAACTTTGCAGCCAGCTAACACCTGTAACTGATTATGCTGGGGTATTTAAGGGATGGCCAGACCCACAGACTCTGCCTTGGTGTGTGTTTGTCCTGGGCCCTGTATCCTGTTTCTGTCCTGCATCCTGTTTCTGAACCGCTGCTGACTTCTCCTGCTCTGATCCCGGCTCGCTCCTGACCATCCCTCTGTCTGACCCTCTGTACCACGCTGCTTGCTACCTGTTCTGATCCCTGGCTTGTGACCCTGACCAATCTCCGCTTGCTCCCCTGTACCTACCTGCCCTATTGATATTGACCCGGCCTGCCTGACGACGCTTGCTTGTATGTACTGTTATCTGTGGGTGGTTGGTTTGGTTTGGTTTGTTTGCACTGTATTATGTTTTAGTATTGCACTGCGTTTATGTTTGTATTGTTAGTGTTAATAAATTATATTGTTTATAACATATCTGAGGTCTGCGTTTCCCTGCGTCAGTCACACATCTCTGGTCACACCTGGGAGCCCTGACATTACACCAAGGCCAATCCTGACCAGAAGTGGCTGCACAGGGAAGCCATCTTGGTTTGTTGATGGGGAAGGATGGATCTGGATGAGGTTGTGTATTTATATCTGCTAGTGTTTGATGACAGGGAGTATGCTTATCAGACTCTGAAGGAGTATCCCCGGGATGAACTGCTAGAATGTATACGGCTCGCTCATGTTCTAGTAGATCAGGGCACAGATTTCTCTATGGTGCAGCCATTGATTCAGGTTTGTGTTGAGTTGGTTTCATCTGGTTCCCCCGAATGCAGGGATGAATTTTTGCCACCATTTAGTGCAGACCAGGTAGAGTCCCTGGTGTGGTTATTAGAGGATGATGTGGGTTACTTTCTGGAGCGTTATTCCACATGTTCACCACAGACACTAAGAGATTGTATATAAACGCAG